TGTAAAACATTGGGTGGGGACAGTACTGAGGACTGAACTCAGGGCCTCCCCATTGTGAGGCAAGTGCTCTACCACTTGAGCCACACCCCAGCCCTTTTACTCTCAGTCTGTCTCTCAGATAAGGCATCATCTTTTGCCCAGGCTGACCTTGGATAGCAGTCCTTCTACTTTGGCCTCCCGAGGGGCCAGAATTACGGATATGAATAACCACATCTGGCTTGTTTCTGAGATAGGGTGTCCCTAACTTTTACCCAAACTGGCCTTGAATCTTGATTTCCTATCTGTGCCTCCCTAAGTAGCTGGGGTTACAGACTTGTACCACCATGCCTGGTCTTCATAATACTTTTCTAAAGCCCATATATGGATAAGGCATAGCTCAAGAAGGTTGTTTTCTGAAGCATGGTTTCAGCACACTTCCTCACCATCTTTGACCTCATGCTTTTTATTTATGAATTCAATTGTACCTTGATATCTTTGGGAGATTGAGTCTAGGATTTCCCATGGAAACAAAATCCAAGAATGCTCATTATCCCTTGTATAAAATGATATAGTATTTTGCATGTAACCTATGAATATCCTCCAGTATACTTTCAGTCATCTCTGGATTACTTAGAATACCTAATGCTATGTAAGTAGTTGTCATGCTGTATTGTTTAGGGTATAATGGTGGGGGGTGGGGGAGACCTGTACATGTTCAGTACAGACATAATCCTCCTTCCTCTCCTTGAATGTTTTTGGTTTATAATTGGTGGAATCTGCAGGTGTGGAACCTGTGGATATGGAGAGTGGAAGACTAGCTTGATACTTGGCTCTGACATGACACAGTGTTTTATCTTTTGGAACATTTCAGAATTTTGATTTTCATATTACAGATGCTCAGCTGGTAAAGTCTGTGCCAATATTCCAGAATCTTAAAAACTCCAAAATCAGGAACACTTCTTATCCCAAACATTTTGGATAAGGGAAATTTAACCTTCATTTTATTCCATGATAATCAATGTAGAATTCACAAAGAAGTGAGAGTAAGTTGCAGTTTGGTTGCCTGTTAGTGCAGAAAGGAAAAAAATCAAATTCTGGGAACTTAAAAATAATCTTTCAGAATCTTAAGGGTTTTTTTAATTAGTAAAAAGAAGATTTAAACTGCTTTACCATTATATAATCCTATGAATAACAGGAGTAAGCTCTTGATAAGATACATTTTATATAAAAAATGGAAAGATTATGAAGTTGTCAGGGTTGAACCTCTTAGTTTATCACAAGTTTAATTTGACCAGGCACTGTGTTATAAGACTATAGTCCCAGCTACTTTCAGCTACTGGAGGATGTGGAGAGAGGCAGGAAGATCTCTTGAGCCCAGGAGTTCAAAGCCAACCTGGAAAATGTAGACAGACACTGTCGCTTCCCCTCTCCCCAAAAAGAAAAAAATTCTTAATCTAATTTGCTCCCCACAAAAAAATAAGTACCTAGAGTAAAAATCACATCTCCTTGCTATTTTCTTTCATTGGAAAAAGAAATATTGAACTTACAGTTTATATAAGCTTTATAGTTTTTTCCCCAATCTGTAAAATACTGTGAATGTGGAAAAATAGGAAGACCTGTATTTCTTTTTGCCTAAATTTAAGGCTCCACAATAACAGTTAATGCTTATTTGTCTCAAGAGGCCTCTCAGAATTGTGAGGATCTCTAGAGTAGTCTGAATTACCTCACTGGTACTAAGATTGTAGCCTTTTATCTATCTACTCATTGACTTTGTTGTGTTGGGTCTGATAACCTAAGGCAGATGAGTAACAGTAACGTAACAGTTACATGCCAGTGTCCAGGGTCCTTGCCTTCACAGGCCAGAGAATTAGCTCGTGAGGCAGCTGAATGATGAGCCAAAGCCCGTATATAAAATAGGATTTATTAGAGAGAAAGGAAAGGCTACAGCTAGAGAAGCGCAGTGGAGCCCGGAAGCCAGTGGCTCACTGCACAAGTGAAGGCTGGGGTTTTTTATGGACATTTTAACTCTGGGTTAGGTGAGTTTTTCTCATTGGCTGTGGGCTTCCTCAGGTGACTGGTTTGGTTTGCACCCTTATGGGGGAGGGGAAATAATCTTGAGAGCATTTTGCTCATCAGTCCTGTGGCAGATCTATCAGACCCTGTATCTTTCTTTAGGATGCAGAAATGTGGATTTACAACTCCCTCTCAGGGTACAGGAATGCAGGCCTCTAATTCCTCAGGATGCAGTAGTGGCACTGCTTGCCACGCCACGGGGGGATGGAATACTCATCTGCGTTAGGTCTCCAGACCCAACAACTTCAAGAGGGAAATTCATCGATCCCAAGTATCCATAATAATAAAAGCATCTTGTTTAACTTTCACAACTCTATGAGGTAGATTGTTAATTTCACTTCTGTGTTGAAAATGTAGAGAGGTTAGCTAACTTGCTCAAGGTCACTGGGTTAGATTAGTTAATGGGACCTGGATTTGAATTCTACGTAATTTGACTACAAAGCCTACATTCTTAACATGGTGCTGTTACAACATTTTTCTTCATATGACTCTCTGGAGATTATTGTTCTTGTGTTAAAAGTGTAAAGAAACTTGTGTTCAAGAATTTAGTAGCTTGCCCGAGGATACAACAAGTAAGTGATACAGTCAAAATTTCAACTTCAGGGAGACTGACTCCTGAGCTGTTAGTTTTGGCCATCTTCCTATATTTTTTAGTTTTAATATTGCCTCTGAATTTTAGTTCACTTGTTAGAAATACAAAAGTCATATTTGGCACCTTAATGCTTCATATATTTTCTGGTTAGACTATGTGTATACCAAACTCCTTCACCCAACACACATATAATTGCTTTCTATAATTCTGCCACTCTAGAGTCTATAACAGGTGGGAGAAAGTGGAAGTAAACAAACAACAGTCCCTGCCTTTGAGGCACTTGTTTCCTGATGCAAGTTGACTTAGAATAAGAAACAGGATGCACTTGTTTACCTAGGTGAATTTATGCACTGGACACCTGGAATAAGTTAAAATTGTCCATATAAAAAGAGATTCCATTTGGGGAAAGGGGATTCTTAAAAATGGATTATTAGGGTAATGCTACTCTAATGGTTCTCTTCATATACTTCAAATACCAAGATGATGTATTTGATTTGGCCACATGGAGATGGATAACACCATTTTATGTATGTTAAAATATTTGTAAATTTGTAATTTAGCTTAAAAGCATTTTATATATTTTAAAGTAACTAGTAGAGCCTGGCATGGTGGCCTGTGCCTATAGTCCCAGCTACTTGGGAGGCTGAACCAAGAGGATTGCTTGGCTCTAGAAGTTTGAAGCCAGCTTAAACAACATAGTAAGAGAGTGTCTCAAAAATAAGTAAATAAACAAACAAAAATAAAAGAACTAGTGAACTCATAAGAAGGTTATAGGTTCTTTCACAGATTATTGATATGCTGTATCTTTCAGTGTTTTTTGTTTTTTTTTTCCTTAGATTCTGGCATACCTCTGTTCTACATCGTGCTGTTTTTTTTTTTTTTTTTTTATCATTTTATAAACTTGCTTAAGCGTGTGAAGTAAGACTTGCTCTGAAATACTTTAAAATAACTTCATTTGGACCTGGGTGTGATGGAACACACATATAATCCCAACATTCAAGAGGCATGAGGATTTCAAGTTTGAGGCTAGCCTGGGCTATGTAGGGATAACCTGTCTCTAAGTAAGTAAGCAAATAAACAAATTAAACTCATTTGGGAACATTATTATAAGAGATAATATTCTTTTCTTTCTAACCTTAACTTTTAGTAGCCATTATAGGTTACCTCTCTTTTAAGATCACTTTTACATGCTAGTGTTATAGGTTGCAAAAATCCTGGAGTAGGAAGGACAATATGAATATGTATGTACTTTGTAATTTGGATGACTGAGTAAAATACTTAATTTCCAAGTGAGTTTTCCTCTGTGATCTGGGATTATAGCAGGCTTATTGAGAGTATTAAATAGGAGTCGTGTGGCATCTAGCACATCACCCATGTTCAAAAGTAACATGTTAATAAGAATACTAGTAGACAGAAAAAAAAAAACAGATGGTATTTTCTTTGTAATTTTTAATTTTTTTTTTTTGTAATTATTTCTATCATTGGGTAAAAGCCAACTACAAAATGGTGGGTTTTTTTGTGGTGCTGGGGATCAAACCCAGGACGTGATACATGCTAGGCAAGTGCCCTACCACTGAGCTACACCCTCTAGCACCAAAATAGTTGGTTTTGACACATACTTGTAACGTTGGGGAAATTACAGGTAAGGAGATTATTTTTCTTTTCAATACCTTGTGCTCTTTTGACATGTAAATAATTCAGGACCAGAACTAAACAATTCTTTTATGTAGGTATTTAACAGATTTTTAAGGCTTTATAACATATCTAGGTAGAAGGTAGGCTTATTTAATTTCTTCAGTGAAAATTTAAATGACTCAATTTTAGTATTTTTCTGCGCTTTAATTTTTTCCATTTAAGCAAATCTTAAATTTCTTTTGTTTAAGCTTGTTTGCATTCTAGAAAATGACATACATCTGTCAAAAATATAGTTTTGGCAAAAATAAGAATAACACCTTTCCTTAGATTCATGGTTTTTATAGTCTCATAAAGTATTACTCCTTCCTCTTAAATCTCTTTTATGAGTTCTCTGCAGAGGTGGTCTTGCTGCAGCAGTCATAGGGTTAAACGCTTGCTATATTGTAGCATATGAAAGCAGTTAAGCTGTTTGGAATTGTTTACTTGCTAAAACCGGTGTTAGTCAGCAGAGGCAGTACACTAGATTCCCTTGTGGCTTTTAGTGGAAAATGTTAAAAGCGCACTCATTTTTCAGTTATAGAAAATTTCAGTTTGATCTGGATTAGTCACAGAACTGGCATGAACCTTCTAACTGTGAAGGCTGTCCAAATGCACTATTTTTTTCTCCTGCTAGAGGAAGTCACATCCTGAGCAGTAGCTCAGCTCTCTGGTAAGTGTAACATGTGAGCATTACTAGGCATTTCATCCTGCGGATCTGCAGTCTGTGCTCTTCAGGCTGTTGCTCAGTTGGAATGATTATCTGGGGCCGATCCTGAGGTTCTGGAGATATTTTTAAGGTCTACTCATTTGGGGGATGTCAGTGGCATTTTGCAAGATAATCTGAGGAACAGGAAAGCATCTGAAATCAACTGAAAAGGATAACTGTAGCGGTTTTCGTTGTGGAAGGAAACTGTATTGGCACAGAGGCATATGACTGAATAAAGTAGTTGGCTCAGAGAAGATGCACAGTCTGCTGGTTTTTTTCTTCTGAATGAAAACTATTTAATAGAAGCCGTATTCATGTGAAGATCAAAGGAATACTGGAAGGATAAACTACTGTTTTTTCTCTTTAAAATGAAAACTCTGAAGCAGTAATTTGAGCTCTTAAGGTCTTCTAATGCCTTTGCAGCCTGCTTGTTTTATTAGGATTCTCCATTCTCACCATTTCTGCTTGGTGCCTGTGCCCTTTCGCTGAAGCTGCCACAGACAACTGCTTGATGTTGAAAGAAAAACCTCTGCCTTGCTTATGTTATAGATGAGAGTGAAGCTATCTGTGTTTCTTCTATTATATGGGAAATTTGGATTAATCAAGCTGTATTCTAGTACCAAGAGTCCTATTGTCTCTTGTGGTCTGACTCATCACATGTAAATGTATTGCAGCTTTGCTATTAATGCAGAGTGGCTTGTTTTCCCCCTTTCTCAAACACAGAAAGAATTGTCAACCTTTGAGCTTCATTTTTCAGGATTTGTGCTGAGCTCTACATCTTTTTGTTTGTTTGTTTCCTGGGTAATAACTGCATTAAATCATTGAAGTTGAAGAAATGAAGACAAATTAGAAGTGGAAACAGAATAGTGAGCTTTTATTTTTTATCTTCAATTATAAGCAAGCTAGCCTACTGGTAACTCTTATGACCTTGCAGGCAAGAGTGGGTATAGCTGTGATCATCTCTGTCACAGCAGTTGTTTCTCATTTCATTCCTTATCGTGTGGTGGTGTGTCACCCAAAACAATGATCGCTTTGTACAAGTAAATTTCAGAGTGCGATATAACTTTTGGTAGGGGAAAAATATTTTTAAATGAGCTTACACTGAACTCAGTTTTAATTATTGGCATGTTGATGTGAAAGTTGTTTTTTTTTTTTTTTAACTTCAGTAATTCAACAACAACAAAAAAGAGTACAGTTCTGTTATTTTTAGGAAGTTACAAGTTATATAATTTTAAGTCAGTTTCTCTGGTAGTATTTATTAACTTTATAAAACCAGTTGCACTGTTCAGAGAATGTTTGTAACTGTTGTACTGAAGAGGAGGAAAAACTGCTTGCGTTCTTCCAACTGTGACTTTTATCACATAGCTTGGATTTTAATGTTTTAAAAGAGCGAATGAGTCGAGTGTGTATTGTTGTTTTGGAGGAGGTAGAAGATGATTCTCCTGAATTCATTTCTAACTTGCCACAGGAAAATAAATCTCTCCATTCTCCACCTTCTGGAAATGTATTGGTAAGATACATGAGTTTGCTTCTTATATTCTGCTGAGCTAGTGGTATACATTTTATTAAAAAAAAATAAACACTGGTTTCATTAAAATCCAAATTAAAGCAATATGTATGTCAGTATGATACAATATTACTTGTGACTAAATGAACACATTTCTGATTTTTACTTTTTTAAATGCTTAGATAATACTTAGACTTTATCTCTTAATCTCTTGAAATGACTTTTAGAAAATAAATTAAGAAATAGTAGTTAATGACACCCATGTTTCTTTTTCATGTTGTGGTTTTATAACTGATGTGACAAGAATCAGGAACTTTGTTCTGGGAAAGGTTGGCTACTACCCCCAACAACAAAGAAGAGCATTTTCTGTAAAGAATTTCATGTGTGTATGTGTAAGACTTTATATGAAAAAGACCCTTAACTACATCTTTAACCTTATTTTTAATGCTGTTGTCAACTGGCTCTTTATTTGACTAGCATACTAAGATACCTAACAGAGGCTGTATTTTTGATTAGTAAATTATATTAAGTCATGCATATATTTATCTTATTTTTATGTTATTCAAGTGTACAGTATTTTTAGTCTTTGAATAGTAGTAGTTTTGATCATCTGCCAAGTTTACCTTATTGGGATTTGTAACTTTATACAAATAATGCTGACTGATGCATGTTATTTTCATTCCCCAAACAGACCTTTTTTAAAGGGCCTTCTTTAATGGGCCTCACCATGGGCTGGGAATTGCTTGTTTGACATGTTCTGATCCACAAGTAGATGTTGACATATTAGACTTCTATTTGGAAGTCTTTCTTTATCATATATAAACAAAAGGTTTCCACTTACAAGAAGTAAAATCTGGTTGTGTTTATTATTCTAGTTAATTTTGTTCAAACCAACATATACATTTTTAAAATTAGTCCATCGTTTTTCTCTCCAAGGTTGAATCTTGTATTTTGACTTGATTTAGCTTTGTGAAATGCCTAAAAATTATTGCAACAGAAGAATCTTAGATTTAGAAGTCTTTAGAATTATTCATGTGGTAGTATTAACGTTTTTATCATTTTATATTTTAGCCATCATTGGTGCAAGCTATATTTAATGGAGATCCTGATGAAGTTCGAGCATTAATATTTAAGAAAGAAGATGTTAACTTTCAGGTAAAAAGAAATGATTAATTCACTGATACCTGCCTTTAAACCTACTTTTTAAAACTCTTTCCTAGAATTGTGATTTCTTTTTTGTTGTTGTTGTTGCTGTTTAAAAAATAGAATTCTGTAACATTTGCTTTAAAGAAGGGTAGAAGAGTCTTGAAGCAAAAAAAGGGATGCACTGGAAATATATTCAGAGTAATAATTTAAAGCACACAAATATTAGAAACCATTGAGGATCCTTCATTCTCCCAGCTTCTTTGAAAATTTTTAAACACAGAAATGTTGAAAAAAATACTCTCAGTACTCATATGCCCTTCACTTAAGTTTGACGTTGATAACATTTTACCATATTTATATTTACTTTCTTATAGTTACAGAGATTATATGTATGTGTATATGTGTGTGTGTATCTAGGTGTATGTACACATGCATTTTTCCTTTTGCTGAACACTGGTTGAAAGTAAGTTGCACAAATCATGACACTTTACCATGTGCATTTCAGATGAGGGTTGTTTTTTGTGGACTTTAATAAAAGACGGTTCTGTGGAGTTTATAATATGTCTAACTTGGTTATGAAATCAGATTGCTTTCTTAATTGTGCTGTGAGCTTTACAAAGGCTCAATTTTTGTCTTGAGTCTCAGTAAATGAAAGACTAATTGTCTAAAAAGGTAAATTTAATATTCAAGACTGACGTGGGACAATTTAGAAAAGGTAGATATAAAGATAATTGTCTCTTTTTACTTTTTACAGTGGCTAATAGTTCGCTTCTTTGTTTAACTCACTAAATTGTGGCTGAAAGTGTATAGTTTAATAAGATCAAATTCATTATTTTTACTGGAAACAAGTACCTCTGAATTAAGGAGGGGATGAAGAGTCATATTATTTGTACAGTTGCTAGAGTAGATAATAGAAATTTTGTAGTTCATAGAAAGCATACAATGCAAGCTTGTCTTGAATTCTCATCTTTCTCTTTCTCTTTCATATAGTACTACTGGGATCACTTAATGTTGGTATTTATAAACAGTTTTTACTGTATTTTGAAAATTTGGATTATTTGAATATATTTGAATCATTGGCTAAAACAAGTTAATTCTATCATCGAGTATTAGACCAGCATGCTAGTATTACTTTTTTTCTGCTTACGCCTTTTCTAAGTGAATTGCTTCTGGGTTTTTCTGTAGTTGAAGAAATAGGCACCTAATTCAGGATTTATTTATTTTAAATAGAGTGTCTATTCACTTTACCTAATTAGGGTATCCCTACAAGTCTACTTTTCTTAGGACAAAAATTCAATATAGGGCTGTAGATTTGTGAACAGGAAGAGAACAAGCCTGCTATTCTGTTTACCTCTTAGGTTTTGTTGTCCTTTTACTTCAATAATAATACCAGATCTTATCTTGGTGAAAACATCTTGAGCCATAATCTCACTTACCTTGACTCAGTTTTTCATCATTACAAAGCTCACTATAGATAACATTGGTTTTCTGCTATATTTAATCAAAAGTGTATTAAATTTTCTTCAACAGTTTTTATTAGTTTATAATAGTTGAATAGGGAGTTTGTTGTAACATTTCCATATATGCATATCATGTATCCCAGTTTGGGTCATCTCTATTGTTCTCCTCCTCCTTGCTCTTCCTTAAAATGATGTCAGCAGGTTTCAGTGTTCCATATGTATATATGTATAGAAAATAAATCAGCCATATTTACCCTTCTTTACCCTCTTCATTTACCCTCCCTCCTCCTGCTAGTTCCCTTCCCCTGTTCTGCATTCCTGTCCTTCATTGTTTGTGTCTGTTCATTGTTCAAGGTGGTTTTGCCTTGGTATTTTACCTGTAAATATATTGAGTCTTAACTAGTCTAACCCTTTCTATTATTATTCTATCCCTTTTCTGCTTCCCCGTATTGTTCATGGTTTCCAGTGTTTTTCCTGGTGTCTTATTCCTACATAGATGCCATGTATTTCAGTATTATTCGCTCTCTATCATTCTCTTCTTCCTTCCCTTCTTCCCTAGTCTATTCTGACAGTCCCTCTATTGGAAGGGACTATACATGCTTCCAATAGAGGGACTGCATATATATTACACACATATATTCTTACATATATATATATATGTATATACACACACACACACACATATATATGTGATAGTGCTTGTATTTGTATCTATCTTCCACACATGAGAGAAAATATGTGACCTTTGTATTTTTGAACCTGGCTTACTAAACAAGATGTTCTCCAGATCCATCCATTTACCTGCGAACGAAAAAACTTAATTCTTTATGGCCAAATAATATTCCTGTGTGTGTGTGAGAGAGAGAGAGATACTAATCTATTCATCAGTTGTAGGGCAGCTGGGCTGTTTCCATAGCTTGGCTATTGTGAATATTGTGCAGTAAACATGGGTGTGCAAATGTCTTTATTGTAGCCTGATTTACATTCCTTCTGGTATATCCCTAGGACTGCTATTGCTGGATCTTATGGTAGTTCTATCTTTAGCTTTTTGGGGAACCATATACTGCCTTCTGTAGTGGTTGTACTGATTTACATTCCCACCAACAGTGAGCATATAAAGGTTCCCTTTTCCCTGAATCCTCACTCCATTTGCTGTTGTTTGTATTCTTGATGACAACCATTCTAACAGGAGTGAAGTGGAGTCTTAATGTGGTTTTGATTTGCATTTCCTTTATGGCCTGGGATGTTAAACATTTCTTCATGTGTGTTTTGGTCACTTGTACTTGTCTGTTTCTTCACCGGGTCATTGATTCCTTGGGAGTTTAGTTTTTTGAGCTCCCTGTAAATTCTGGTTATTAATCTTTTGTCAGATGTATAGCTGGCAAATGTTTTCTCCCATTCTGTGGGCTGCCTCTTCAGTCTGGTGAACATTTCCTTTGTCATGCAGAAGCTTTTTAATTTCATGTAGTGCCATTTGTCAATTCTTTCTCTTAATTGGCAAGCTATTGGGGTTCTATTTAGGAAGTTATTGCCTATGCCTGTTTCAGTGTATTCTGCTCTTTACTGCAGTAGTATCAGAGTTTCAGGCCTTCTGTTAAGATCTTTGATCCACTTTGAATTGATATTTGTACAGGGTGAAAGACAGAGATCTAGTTTCAGTCTTCCACATGCAGTTTTCCCAGCAACATTTGTTGAAGAGACTGTCTTTTCTCCACCGTACGTTTTGGGTACCTTTGTCAAAAATCAGGTGGCTTTAGCTGTGTGGATCTATGTCTGGGTCTTCTGTCTTTTCCATTGATCTTTTATCTGGTCTGTGCCAGTACCATGCTGATTTTTATGGCCATTGCTCTGTAGTTCAGTTTGAAATCAGGTATTGTGATACCTCCAGCATTATGCTTTTTGTTTAGTATTGCCTTGGCTATTTGAGATCTTTTATGCTTCCATTTGGAATTTAGGATTTTCAATCTCTGTGAAGAATGTCTTTGGAATTTTGATGGGGGTTGCATTGAAAAATATCGAGTTAATACTGTGAACATTTGTTTACTCATCAGTGCCCCCCACTTTTTTTTTGTGGCAGTGCTGGTGATTAAATCCAGGACTTCTTACATGCTAGACAAGTGCTCTGCCACTTGAGCCACATCCCCAGCCCTTTTGTTTGTATTTTGTTGTGAGATAGGGTCTCATTAAGTTTGACTGGGTTAACTCTTGGGGATATACCCAAAAGACTGTTACTCCAGAGGCACCTGCACATCCATGTTTATTGCGGCACTATTCACAATAGCCAAGTTATGGAAACAGCCAAGATGCCCCACCACTGACGAATGGATTAAGAAAATGTGGTATCTATACACAATGGAATTTTATGCAGCCATGAAGAAGAACGAAATGTTATCATTCGCTGGTAAATGGATGGAACTGGAGAACATCATTCTGAGTGAGGTTAGCCTGGCCCAAAAGACCAAAAATCGTATGTTCTCCCTCATATGTGGACATTAGATCAGGGGCAAACACAACAAGGGGATTGGACTATGAGCACATGATAAAAGCGAGAGCACACAAGGGAGGGGTGAGGATAGGTAAGACACCTAAAAAACTAGCTAGCATTTGTTGCCCTTAATGCAGAGAAACTAAAGCAGATACCTTAAAGCAACTGAGGCCAATAGGAAAAGGGGACCAGGAACTAGAGAAAAGGTTAGATCAAAAAGAATTAACCTAGAAGGTAACACCCACGCACAGGAAATCAATGTGAGTCAATGCCCTGTATAGCTATCCTTATCTCAACCAGCAAAACCCCTTGTTCCTTCCTATTATTGCTTATACTCTCTCTACAACAAAATTAGAGATAAGGGCAAAATAGTTTCTGCTGGGTATTGAGTGGGGGGAGCGGGAGGGGGTGGAGTGGGTGGTAAGGGAGGGGGTGGGGGCAGGGGGGAGAAATGAACCAAGCCTTGTATGCACATATGAATAATAAAAGAAAAATGAAAAAAAAAAAAGTACAAAGCAAAAAAAAAAAGTTTGACTGGGTTAGCTCCAAACTCTTGATACTCCTTCTGCTGTTTGAGAAGCTGTGATCACAGGAATGCACCGCCATACTTTGCAGAGTGTTGTTTGGTTTGGTTTGGTTTGGGTTTGGGTTTGTTTTTTTGTTTTGTTTTGTGGGGCATGGGGGGGGTGTCTCTTCATGGTAAGAGATGACTACTGCTGTGTTATGAACTTGTGACAAGCAGCCAAAGAAGAGGGGATTCTCCTACACCTTCTAATCCCCCCTCCCCAAACACACACACCAAAAAAAAAGATCAGGGGAAAATAACTTTTCTACAGTCCCACAAAACTCACTTCTGAGGTTTCATTGGTTATAGGCTTACTCTCAACTAATGTATCAGCAAAGTAGGATAGGGTTCATTGTTTTGTGTAGATATGATTCATTGCCTGGGTCATCCCTTGGAGTGGGAAAAAGATGATTTATCTTCATTGAATATATTGTTATATCTGGAGTAAATTGGAATTTTCTTAGGAAGAAAGAGAAAGTAGTTGTTTACATAAATAATT